TGAAGAATTCCATACTGCGGTGTTCTCTTCATTCAATCAAGAACTGTCTACATTCTATTTTAATGTTCTGGGAGTATAGTCAACCATCTGTTTTAATTTGAAATTCTATTTATCAATAATTTTGAATGATACTGTAAATTCTGCTTTGGAGACTGGAAAATGCTCCATTATTGCATATTCTATTCTTTCCACTGATGTGACATGTATATTTTTATTTGCACATTTTAGATTTCTTTTCTATGGGATTTTTGTACTAAACATTTCTTTGATATTATGATTATTATCTAAGATTTGCTGTAAGTTTCTAATTTTTTTTTGCACTGCTGCATGAAACTACTAATCCTCTTTTCTGCTAATCTGAAACTTAGAATTAGGCAAAAAAGCAGCCTTAGCTTGGCATAGATGTTTTCTGAGAATTTTTATTTTGTGGAAAAAATTTCTGCAGAATTTCTTTTTTTCCTTTTGAAGAAGAGGGACATGTGTCTGATCCATTCTCACAATTAATAATAGAATTATTGAAAATCTGCATCAAACTAAGTTTCTTTTCTTTCCACACCCCTTTTTTTTTCTTAATTTGAAATGATTGTCTAAAATCAAAGACAAGCTGTTTGTCGACTTAATTTGTTCATCTCTACATATAATAAAAGAAAGAGTCTGTCTGTGTGTGTCTTTCGTTCTCGCTGCGCATAAGCTAATAGACCCATGGCTACAAAATTTGGTACATAAGTGCATCTAGACAAGAGCTTTGTTCTAAAAAAGTTTATTTTTAAAAATGTGCAGTTTCTTTTTCTTTGATTTTTGGACACGTTAAACTTTTGTCTTGCGACTGCTTTTACAAAAAGAATTTTGGAAAAATGGTAATATTTTGTATTTAAAAAAATTTTTTTAAATGATGTTTCTGAGTACACTTCTCACATCTCACATCTTTAAAAATGTGATTTTGGCAACAATTTTCCTTTCTTATTGTTGATAAATTTTGATGAAATCGCATCATTTTGAATAGTTTCTTTTAGAAATATGGGTTTGGCAACAATTTTTCATCGTATTTCTTATGTAACTGTTTTTAAGAGATTGGCATATTTCATTGTCGTTTTTTATATATATAATACATTTTTATTGATTTGTTTTTGATAAAGTTGTTTTGCAGAGTAAAATTATGCATGATTTTTTTTTTTTTTTTGTTTGTTTTTTGAGTTTCTTTCATGTTATTTTTTGCTTATTTCACTGTTTGGGAGATATTAAAAAGTTTTGCATGTTTTTTTTCTTCATTGGAAAGTTGGTTAATTTTTTTATTAAATGTTCTGAATATTAAATTCTAAATATTAAATTAAATGTTTATTAAAGTTAAATGGCTGCGATGTGACTGCTGACACATTTTCTCAGAAGATTCCTAAAGTATCATAACATTTCAATATTTCAGAAAAAGAATCATTCAAAGTATCGAGTAAGAAACTGTTAAAAAAATTAAAATTTTATTGTAGAATTTTTATATAATTTTTTATGTAGTTATGGTGGTGGTTAAGAAGGGGGACATAAATTATGCTTTAACAAATGTTTAATACACATCTCATGCAATCAGTTTGCTAAAAATTCAAGATGTATATGTTTTTCTGGAGATATATCAGGGCCGTATGCAAGGGAAGGTTGGAATCTTAACAAAAAGAAAAAAGTTGGAAGAACTCACGCGGCCATCGGTCCCAGGTGTGCCTTTTAGGCATTTTTCCGGTATGTTTAAAAGTCAGACGAAGGCTGGCCGCATAGTGGCTAGTTCATTATATTTCTCTGTCACTTGGAAAATTTTATTATCAAGTTTGAACTTATTTGGCAACTTTATTCCAGTTTAAATAATTTATTCTGTAATATTTTGATCATGTTAATGGAGTTGTTGATCATAATAAGCTGTTTATTTTCCATGTTTTCATTTCCGAATGGGCAGGCGTTCGACAATTCAATAACAATATCCAAATGATAATATTAAACTCCAAACACATTAACCTTTTGAAGACGGGATGTCCATTATAGTGGCCATAGAGTCCTCTCTTTGAAAAGACGGGGTTGTCCACTTTAGTGGCCATGTCTTTTCCCGCATTTTCCAGGCTGAAAAGTGGGGTGAAATGTCACATTTGACGTCCCTGAGGTTTTAACCACTTATCTCTTTCAAAGATCTTCCTTTTTCGACATAGATGCACCCCTCTGAGAATCCAATAAACTACACACAAGAATCTTTGTTGCAAATAGGAGGTCATTTCTTAAAGGGGGAAAGCATTCGGTTCAAGATTCCCCTTCCTTTGGTAGCTTTTACTGCTAACAAAGCCCCGGCCTCAAAAGGTTAAATGGCATCTGCTGTCTCCCTGGTGGTGCTTTTAATATCCTGCTACTGACTGAGGAAAAGTAGTTTATGCAGATTTTCTGTTATAGTCTCTTTGCCTTATTTTCTCTAAAATTAAAATTTTAAGCTAATTTTTAAGTTTGTCAGTAAATTTTTAAAATTAAAATTTGATTTTAGGTTTACTATACTTAATTTACCTATTTCCTTTTATAGAGCACTATATTTTCTGCTTCTTAGCATATTTCAGATTTAGGGGTAGGCTAATAATTCCCATAGGGTTTTTTCCAACCCCTTGAATTTTATATTTGTTAATTTTAGTTCCATTTCAATTATTTAAATTGCAGAAAACTGTGGATAAAAAAACTGAAATATAAAAAATAAAAAATAACTTATTAATTAATTATTAATTACTTTACCACATGACTTCCTTGTACGGAATATTAAATTATATGCATTTTTTCTTGCATTTCATTTAAACTTATTGGATTGAATTAAATCTACTTCACCGACAGCGCATAAACCACAACAGAATAAATGCATTCTTTAATATTCACTCTAGTATTTGTTTCCCATAGCAACACTCTGGTGCTAGATTCACTTAACAGGATTAATAATTATATAACAGTTAACTTATATAATAATTATATAACAGAAACTAAGTTAACTGTTATATATCCAAATAATTATAAAACAGTTAACTTATATATTTCGTTCATATTATAACTCATAATGCACAAAATTTATATCATTTAAAGAATAGAATTATCTAAGCATTGCCACATGTTCTATTCAAATACTATAATAAAGCTAGAATGATGTATAAAAGAAATTAAGCAAACAAAAAAGAAACAGTTTTTCACATACGATTGAGTATTTCTCATTTAATTAATTCAGTTCTCACTTCGCGAGAAGGCAAAAATACATAAAAACTCAAAATATCTATATTAAAAATTATGAAGTAAATCTTAAATACTTATCTCCTTGAAAAAATTCCAGAAAGAAAGAAGCATGATTTACTTGGCAATAATAAATGAATGCGTTATCTTTGTTGTTGCGAAGCTAAGTTTCTCTAGATTGGCAACAAATCCACTAGTCTCCTGTTTCAAATGTAAACATCAATGGCCGCCATTAAAAAAAGGCTTAGCGGCACTTAGACAACTTTAAAATTGTTGATAATTCTAAAAATATTGCATACAGATTTACTAAAGACATAAAAATCTTAACCGGAAGATAAAAACAACATAATGCAATCATTTTTAAAAGCAAAAAATGTAATACAATTTACAAACATATAAGAGTAAAGAAACTGAGATCACTGAGCCGGGTGTAAACAGAGTGGATATATATATAATATATTTATATATACTTTGGGTGCGGCCGATTGCAACCAAAATACGAGATGCACATCTACATGTTATAGCAGTCCTATATACAAAATTTCAACATTCTAAGGCTACTCGTTTTTGAGTTATGCGAGATACGTACGTACGCACGTACGTACATACGTTCGTACAGACACCATGAAAAATTCTCTTCAGAATTAATTTTAAAGCAGTTTTATAAATTTTTTGAAGGAAAAGAGTAGTTTATTCTGTCCTTATGTACAGATATCACGCAAAAACATCGTTAAATATACATTTTAATAGGAATGAAATAATAAACAAAAGCATTTAGAAATAATATAAGTGGTTTAAAAAATACATAAAACCAAGGCAGTTGACGGGAGATGGAGACACCATCATTATAAATAATATTCTAATTTATGACTATTACACTGATTTTTGTTGCCTTAACAGCTCTAACAATCATTATTTGACATGCTGTTTTAACTCAGTGTCTGATCAGTTAGAAGCTAAAGAGCTTGGAGAATAATGCTATATTTATAAACTAGCTGAAATACCTAATCTATGTCTGGGTGGTGAGCATTTAATTCCTTCAGCAATTAGCGATTGCTAGCATTTAAGAGGCATAATTTAAATAGTTCAGTTATACATATTGTATTTATAATTTAAATATTATATTTAAAAAATGTATAATTAAAAGTACTTATGAGATAAAAAAGTGAATAAGAGAAACAATTAAAAATTTATTCACAGTGCAAAAGGTGCAGCCTAAACACATAAAGTGATGAGACTACTAACATTTCTGGTTCTCTGCTTCGAGTGAGCTACATCTTTACTCCTGGATGGGGAGCATTTATCGACTCCTCCCTGTCCACACTCCACCACCACATCTTCCTTCTCAGTCAGTTTTATCCCCTCACTCCTCTGTCCCTGCAATGACTTGTATTGATGATTGATAATACACTGTACCTATTGCGCTATATTATAAACAGTTATATTTATTTATGTTCTCAGGTATAATGGTCACTTTTAGAAATTGTCATGTAGGTAAAGTGGTTACCAATTCATCCCCATGTGTTCACTGTATTTTTTAATAAACAGAAATAACTTTATTTAATTAACTTATAAGGATAAATAAATACTTTTCATGTAAAATTGTTATAAATTTAAATAAAATAATCAAAACTGGCATGTTTTATGCTTTTTAAAACTATTTCAATCTGTAACCAGAATTTGAGTTAATTTGTTATCTGTTTAAATTCTGATGTAATATTAAGGTACTTATGTTGCAATAAATTTATACATATATATATATATTTTAACTATAGAACACGCTTGAATCAAATATTATGTGGTGGTGTTACGAAGAGGCTCCCTGGGAAGAACGGCTAATTGCTGTTACTCAATGCATTCGAGATTCTAGCAGGAGGATGAGCGCTGCACGTTTAGTTGTATCTCAGGCTCCTGTGCCATGGTCTGAAGCAATAAAAAATTTAATTAAAGAAGGTTTAGATTTGCATGATCATTGGTAAGCAGTTTCTGAAAATTTTACTGGACTGTTTGTTTTTTATTTCCAAAACGTAATTGGCATGCATATACTTTGAGAACCTTTTAAAGATAAGAGAATTTTTTTTTTTTTTTTTTTTTTTTTTTAAATACTTGAATTTTGCCATCACTTTTATCTAACTTTCTTTAAATATTGCCTATGAAGAGATGCATTTTTTCTGTTGAATTAGAAAATATAAGAGATTAAAAGTATAAAAAAGTTGTCAGAAATTTTTACTTAGAGAAAAGTTTTTCAAGGCTGAACATAAGAAAATTTAAGTCAAAATAAGTACAGTACAAAGTCTGAAATCTTTATGTCTAATATCTGGAATGATCTGATATGTGAACCTCTAGACCACTACCAACCTTCTTCAAACTAATAATAATATTAATAATAATAATAATGGTGCTGCTACTAAAACTAATATTGGCACCTAATTACCAATTTTCTTGTAACCATGCATCAACTCTGTTTCCTTAGTGTTATAGCAGCTATTTTTTCTTATGTGCTATTATTTTCCTTGAATTTAATCTGATTGAAACTTCTTAGTTTAGTGATTGAGAGTCATGTAATTAGTAGTACTGCAAGTCACGCATTTTGTCCATATTTTGAATTATTAGAATTTTAAATGCCATTGATCGACATATGGTTTTTGTTAGCTGGTTCTAATTAATCATTGGGCTCACCAACGGCCAAGTGGTAAATACGCTGAACACTGGTAGTTCAGTCCAAGGTTCGAATCCTGCAAATGGGCTGGATGCATGGGCATTTTCGTGGTTTTCCCCATGTGTGACGTGTATACAAGCCAGTTCCCTTAAAAAGTCCTCCACGAAGGCATCCCTCCCTTCAGGTCGATAGCCCTCGTGTGCTTTGCCATAATTAAAATAATCCAATCCATCTACTTAATCATTGTCCTGTCATTTACTCAAAGATAAATACTTCTTTTTTCATGATTTAGAGTGAAAGTATAAGGCGACTATAATTGATTGGCGTATGAATGAAGATTGAATTAATTCTCGTTATGAATGTCATGTTTCTACAGAAGATATGCATCTGGTCGAGCTTAAGGATCAATTGAACAGCTATGAGTGGGCTTACCATGAGAAAGGTGCTTGAAACTTGAGCTCATACCAACACCATTCAGGGCATGCAGAACTACATTAAGCGGAGTTTTTGCAAGCAGGTTCTTCTGCATTTGTTGGATGACATTTTGTATTCCTACTTTATAGAGTTTATATAGTGTCACCAATACCAGGATCAGGAGAAGGAGGATCAGTTCCGGGACTATGTGATTTGCATTATGTAGGTGCAGCAATCATCCAATGGTAATGATAAGATGTAGCTAAGAATGCACGAGGTGAATACTTTGTTGTTTCTGAAATGTACCTTTCCGGCGTTGTTTTGGATGACAGCCATCTTGGAAATGCTTTTTTTTTTGGTGCATGTAAACTTTTACTAATTGATAATGGCCAGGATCACACTTTCAGTCTTTGAATGGTTATGGGGGGTTATCATTTTCTCTCTGACCTAAGTGAAGCCCCAGTATTATCATGTGTACATGCCATCTTATTAAATTCATACTAATGATCTGAAATTTAGAAATTTCTGAAATCTAAAGTTATCAGTGTCTCATTGATTCCGGATCTCAGACTTTGTATTGAATAAAGCAGTAATTCCTGATATTATGGAAAGTCATTTGTCAGAAAGTATTCCAGATGTTTAGTTTTGGAGGAAGTTTTAAAAATATGAGCTCTTTTTTTTTTTTTTTTTTTTTTCCACTGAAAGTTTAAACAAATGATTTTACCAGTAATTGTAGAAAAGGGAAGTAACGGTTATATAAATTAAATGTTATAAAAATTATTTAAGCATGCATTATGCTATGTCAGTGAATAATAAGTTTTTTGAGAGGGCATACCTATAGATCTTTGTTATATGTAATCAGAAAGAGTACTGTTTTTATACTGTGTTAGGCATGTGGTTAACCACATGTCTATAAAAAATAGGCGAAATGTTTTGACACCTGTCACCTATGTGCTTAACTTAGGGTTAATACTGTATTGTTTAAAATAAATTCAGAATCAAACAGAATTTGCTTAACAAATGTATTAAAAAACTGAACAAAAACAAATTAATAAATTATTTTGTTATTATATATTTTTCTTAAATGAAAAGACGTGTTCTTACTTAAAGGAAAATGTATATAACATAGCTTTGTCTCTGCAAATAGTAATCATTATTTAGGAATATGAATATTTTTTGGAGAATCTAGGATAAAGAATTTCTTCACTAATTTCTCAGTATGTTGTTTATTAAGTGCTGAGCCATTGTTTTTATTCTTTCTATTTAATTTCTCCAATTTTTTAATTAAACTGCCTTAAAGAAATTTGGAAATACAGTTATTTTAATAACTTTAGATTAAAAAAGATTTGACATATTTATGTGATTTTCTGTTTAGCTCAGAAATGCTCAAAGAATCTAAAGATACAATTTTCAGTTTAGAAGAACAGGATCTTTAAACTAGACTAATCTGCTTTATTATGTTACAGTCTTGAAGATGTTTATGCAGCATTAATCAGTGACCCATGATGAATTAATAAACTTCATGAATTATATATTTAGAAGGTTGCAGTTTATCTATAAATTAAAAAATATTTTAAGCTTCTTCAAGAAGGTAGTTGTTAATGGAATTTAATTTTAGAAATGGCAGTGAAGAATTCTTGGTATGTTTGTGACATAAATTTTAACATTTTTAATAGTTAGTTTGTTAATTAGCCATACAGTAAGACCCCACTTAACACGGGGTATACGTTCCATCAAAGTAGAGCGTAATATGAAACAGCATTAAATGAGGTTATCTCATCATGTAAATAATGGGGTTAGGGAAAGATGGGTAGAAAATTGGTCAAGTATTTTACCGTTAAATTTATTAATTATGTTTTTATAACAATAAAGCAAAAATTTTATTTCTTACAAATATAGAAACATAATAAACGAATATACATATAAAAATAAATAAAATTCTAAGTCAGTATGCTTAAATTTCAGATCATTCAGTCTCTTCTGTATTTCCAATTTTCTGCCTTTTTTATCAAGAAGGTATCTAATGTAATTTGCATTTTTCTTTTGTGCTCTGTAAGGAGTTGTTGGTAAGTGCATAAGGCATCCATAACACTGAACTCCTGTCAAAATTTGGGTCATTTTCAATAAATTGTTTCATAATTTCTGCTATAGGGGTCAAACTGGTTTTTAGAAACGCTGTTAAAAGTTCTTTTTTCTCTTCTTCAGAATATTTTTGTGTTCTTCTTGGTCCGCTAATTCTTTGAGCTCATCATTAGATAGACTTGCTGCTGTTTCTTGCACTATTTCTTCGACATCTTCCACATTTACCTCATCTAAACCGGTTTGTTTCGCTAATTCCACTATTTGATTTATATTGACAGAGTGTCCAGTACCACCACCCTTGTTTAGATCTGGCCAAATGTTCTTCCACACCCCTTTCAAACATTTTTCTGTTACCTCATTCCAAGAAAGGTTTATGTTTTCTACAGCATTCATAATATTGTAGTTTTCCAAAACTCTCTTATTGATTGTTTCTCTTCTCCATCTGTTTTTTCAAACATCTGTCTAAATGTTCGCCGCAGGTAAAAAGCCTTGATCCTTTGGTTGGATTAAGGCACTTGTGTTAGGCAGCAAAAAAACCACTCCGACTGGAATGCATGTTATTAAGTCAGATAAATTCGTTGGATGGCTTGGAGCATTATCAATTAAAAGTAATGCTCTTGATTCAAGTTTTTTAATTTTGCAGTAGCGTTTAACAGACAGGCAAAAATATTCAGTGAACCAATTCTGGAAAATTTTTATAGTTATTCATGATTTTTTATTAGACTCCCAAATTACAGGTAAAGTGGATTTGGATATTCCTTTCATCACTCTTGGGTTTTTGGAATGGTAAACAAATAGTGGTTAATTTATTTCTCTGCTTGTATTACCACCCAGGAGAAATGTTAAGTGATCTTTTGCAGCTTTAAATCCTGGTGCTGTTTTTCTTCACGGGATAAAAATGCTTGTTTTGGCATTCTTTTCCAAAATAGGCCTGTTTCATCAACATTAAAAATAATTCTGGAGGATAGTTTCCTCATCCAATTATTGTTTTTAATGCCGTTGGGAATTCAGTCGCCGCTTTCGTATCACCACTTGCTGCTTCTCCTGTAATCTGTACATTATGAAGATTATTTCGATGTTTAGATCTATTAAACCATCCTCGACTTGCAACAAAAGTTTCAATTGTGTCACTTGCCTCAACCTGGATGTAATTAAAAATTCTTCTTGCTTTTTCCATTATAATAGATTGGCTTAATGGCATATTGTGTTCAATTTCGTCATCAATCCGTATAGATAGTTGTTTTTCCATTTCGTCTATTGTATTATTTTTAGAATGCGTAATTCTAGTTGCAGAGCTTTTCGTAGTTGCAGTTGCCGATGACAGTATTTTTTCTTTATTCTTAAGAATAGTCCTTATTGTTGAAGTTGCCAAATTTAATGCAGCACCAGTTTGAGATTGACGTTCACCAGTACCTAATCTAATCACTTGCATTTTAGTTTCTAGCTAAATTCTTTTTCTTGTTGCTTTATTTTCGTGTTTTTTATTATCACCCATGATAAAACCTAAAAATAATAATATTTGTCACTATATCAATTGTTATATTATATAAATTTAAACTTACAATAACGTCAACAAATGTTTGAAATGATAAAAATATGTTCGTATAACACCGCAGGAAAGAAGAAACACAGATAAACTGCCTCGGATATCGGGAAGCATAACGCTGCGTGCAATTTCTGAGAATCCCACAATTTAAATAAAAGAGCGTTGAACCGAAACAGTGCTGAACGAAACAGCGTTAAGCGGGGTCTTACTGTATTATGTTATTATTATTTATTTAATATTTTATGTATGCCAAAATCTGCAAAAGCTATAATCT